TGTCTCTCCTCTGCAGCCCCGTGTAATATGCAGAGTAAAAGACCAGCCTCTTGGAGACTCCTGCCAGGCGTCACCGAAACTGGCCTGCAGGTTCCAAAGTCAGTGGGGTCCTATGCAGAGGGTGAGCCCTGCATACTTTGTTTCCATAGACAGGACAAAAACAGTTAGTCCCACCAAAACTGGAAGCCCCAGGGTGCTCGGTGACACCAAAGGGACCAAAAAACACCTCCAGAAAAATTTCACCATTTGCTTCATTTGAATTCTTTACCCTTTCAGCTGAACCTTCTCTTCTATTTTTAATTCCAATCAGTTTTAAGTGGAAAAGACCATTCAAAGCCAAAATTCAAATTTTACATTCTGAAACCATCTAAAAGGAAAGATTTGTTGGTTCCAAAATTAAGCATTTTAACAATGTTAAAATTAAATGGTTGACAATTTGAAGCTTTTCCCACTTTCTTCTGCAGCTAAAACTGAACTCACTCCAAACTGGTGAAAGTTATCCCTTTGACAATGAACTTTTAGCAAAAATGCCATCCATCAAAGGAAAAACCTAACTACCTGACTCTGTGGAAGCTTTAGCTATTACCAGTACCATGTTAAGAGCCAAGATATGTTCCCTTTTTTCCAGTTCTGGAGTGAGCTGAGAAATTTAATTTTGCTTCTTGAGCACCATGTCTGAAAACCCACCTTTCCACCCACAAGGAAATGGGAAGCAGAGAGATATGACCCTTTCGTTATTTTTTCTAATTCTAACCAGTTCCTTCCCCTCCCAGGTACATGGATTTCTTCCCCACTCCCTCCAACACCACCACTGACCTCCTTTTCGAGAAAAGTGCCAACTATTTCCACTCTGAGGATGCCCCTAAGCGAGCTGCTTCCCTCATCCCCAAGGCCAAGATCATCACCATCCTCATCGACCCATCTGATCGGGCGTATTCCTGGTACCAGGTATGGACCTTGCCTTTGAGAAATTGGTGGCAGGGGATGATGGCCAATATCCATGCAAATTTGCACAACCCCTTGAGCAAGAATTAGGTTTACTGCAAAGCATTTGCTCTCTGCAGAAGTGGAAGGATGCTGAGTGCCAGCTTTTGCAGTTGGCATCTGTGACACCAGTGTCATAAATGATGAAACTTCTCAGCACAGAGCTGCCACCAGCTGTAAACAAACAGTTTAATCTCAATTACAACTGACACTGCATGGAGGAAAAGCAGTGCTCCTTGCCCAGGGGGATACATGGGGAAAATGAGTATAGCCTAGCTAGAAAATCAGAGCTCTTCTCTTGATGCTGAGAATCTGGTACCTCATCCCATCCTCCAGCATGTAAGCCAAGCGAATGTGGTGGTGTACATGTGTACACAGTGCCTTCTAAAGTTTCCATGGAGTTAAAAAGAGCTGTGTCTGAAGAACTGGTTTTTTTTTTTCCTCTCCTTGGAAACAAAAGAAAGCCTGTTGTTTTTCTGAGGAAACTCTAGGATGCACTTCGTCTTTTACCAAGCCTACGTCTTCCCATAACAAAGTCTAGTCTACTTAAAAAACATATTTGTAAAATATGCTGTAATCATACAGGTAAAGGGAATACTGAAAGCAGTATGTGAAAACACGCACAAATTAATAAAGTTGCAATCAGAATAAAATATGCCATTTCTGATAGTGTTACGAGTTCTGCAAGGAATGAAACATGGCCTAGGGCTGCAGTCTGCACCCTTTTTTATAGCTCACTTTCACATTGACAACTGTAAAGGTGTGAGGTGCAAAGCAGTAAAAAATAGTGCCTATTTTGGCAAAATTTGGCTCCTCAGCTCCCCTCCCACTGCACCAGCACAGCCCTCCCAACAGATCTTGGCAGGCTCATGGGTTCATCCTCAGCATCCTTGTGATACCTGTCTAAATATCTCCCATTAGCATCAGCGATCCCATGAGGACCCTGCTGCCCTGAAATTCAATTTTTATGAGGTCATTACGTCCAGCCAGTGGGCACCCTTGGAAATAAGGACCCTCCAGAAGAGATGCCTGACACCCGGCTGGTATGCTGTCCACATCGAACGATGGTTAACTCATTACCCTGCTTCACAGGTAATTTTCAACCTGTCATTTAAACAAGCTCATCAAAATCCCAAAATGAGTATGGCCTCATCACTATAGGTGCTGGGATATTTCCCACTGCAACTCTGAGCTGATAGGAAATGCAGTTTTAACATGACCAGGCTCTTTGGCAGAAGTGTGTTGATTTTTCTGTTTTCTGATGGAAAAGATGCAACAGGAAAATGCTATGAACTGTGGCCACTTGGGCCTGTTGGGGGACTTCGGGGATTCCTTCCAGAATCAGCCAAGGTTGTCAAGGCTTCTGGGTCCCAAGAAACAAGCAGCTGCAGCATGAGACATTGTGGGAAGGTTTGACAAATTCATTTAGAAAATGGCAGGGCTTTAGAAATTGCATTTCACTTCCCACTCCCTTTCATAGAAAATTCCACATTCATTTGATCCTGATCTGGAATCAGCTTTTCTCAGTGTTACAGCAGCAATTCCTTTTTTTGCCCTCATCTTCCTTCAGATGTCTTACTGAATGTAAGATGTCTTCAGATGTCTTTTATAATCTTTCCCATGAAAAATATATGTAAACACACAGACCTAAAGAATATTCCCATTACTAAAAAAATTGTTTACAGATATAAACCTAAAGCAAAAGTTCAGTGCTACAAAATAGACACATGGGCACTCTTGACCCATGGATGTGGTCCACAGCTCTGTTCACAAGTCCACCTACTGTAAGAAAAAGTTGTAAAAAGGTATTTAAGGAGCAAGCATAATGCACAAGTATCATCTCCAGAGATTACTCTATGTGGGACAGAATTTTGCTGAAAGGAGGTAGAACTGAGTGTTGCCTGTTTAGTCAGGGACCTGGAAATCCAAAAAGGAAACAGAAGATCTGTCTTTTTGCAATCCTCCCTTTTCCTTTTATACAGTCTCAGCTGTACTACAAAGAGGAGAAGCAGGTCAATCCCATTTCCAGGAGAAAGGAGAAAGTACTTTCTTCTTTCGTCTCTGGCCTTCTACTCTTTCATAACAGGGAAGCAGTACTGCCTAGAGCAGCAAAGGCTGTCCCCAGGCAGTGTGGCCCTAGGAGAAAACAGGGTATGTCTCTTCATCTCCACCACAGTCCAACTTCTTCCTCTGAAGCACAAGGGGCTGTTCTGGCAAACTTGGAGCGTGCAAAGGATGCCAAACATCCCATGCCCTGTTACCTGTGCTCCTTCTTTGCCCTCATCCAGGGCTGCTGCCCCTCTCATGAAGATTTCTCCCCTTCTCTTCCAGTGAAGAGCCACTGCAGCCCTCTTATTAAACATTCAGGGGCACACTGACATCTTCCTTGTAAAACCGGTAACCACTCATGTTTCATGGTTACAGTGATTAATTTTACAAGATGCACAACAAAATGCACTCTTTCTCAATAAGATGCACAGAAAGAGAGCACTCACAGTGCTTACTAATGGGCACTCAGTAATGTGCATTCTCTTGGCTCGTGCACTCAAAACCTTAATAATTGATAATAAGCTTTCACAATAAATATAAACCACATCTGCCTGAAATAGTTATTAGCAATACTGCTTGGTACTCCATGTCACTTCTGATACACTGTCTTAACATTTGCTTGAGGAGGTCAATGTACCTTTATGTACATCCATCTTTCATTAAAAAAAAAAACAAAACAAAAAAACCCCTTTGCTAACAATTTTGCAAACCTGTATGGTTGAGAGGCTGGTGGCAGGTTTAAAATAAATTGCCAGAATATCACTTTTGAACATGAAATTGAGTAGCTTCTGAACATTTTATTCTAAGATATACATGAGCTTTGTTACTCACCTTCCATGCCAGATTTCCTACAGACACACTATAAACCTCAACAATAATTTTACATTCCTTCCTTATCTCTTTTTCTCAGAATTCTCTGAGACTCATGTTGGCTTGTGAGATTTAACTGTTGCATTTGAACAATGTGCATGCAGTTATAAAGTGCCCACCTATACAAATTCAATAGAATAAAGTAAAAAGTATATCCAAAAGGAAGCTCAGCCGTACGATTGTTAATAGCACCGTACAAAGTCACATGCTAATTTAACCCCATGCTGTTAGCCTTAGTCGTGGTTCTAAATAACTAGCATTTTTACCCCTACAGTTGCTTATTATTGATGGACAGCAGCTAAGAAGTGACCCAGCTACTGTGATGGATGAAGTGCAGAAGTTTCTTGGAGTCTCTCCTCATTATAATTACTCTGAAGCTCTAACGTGAGTCTGTTCCTTTACTCTCTGCCCTACAGGATCACGCTGTACATCCCCACTCGATCATTAATTACAATCAAATAAAAAAAACCCAAACCATAACAACGATAATTTTGCAAAGCTCGGGGTTGTCTAACACCCATCCAGTTTTCCCTTAACTTGCACATATACTAACTTGCACATTACAGAATTGATGACTGCATACATTCCCACACAAACTCTACTTTGCACAACATCCAGAACAAATACCTACTCAATCTGTTGTATCAGATGCAGAACAAACATACAGATTCATGTAAAAAAACATCCGCTAAGTTTGAGTGTCCGATCTGAGACACCCAGGGATTGTTTGCTATGGGTACCTAGTTTTGCTTTCACCACTGCACCATTTAAAATGTACATTCTACTGGGGTGAGTTGTGCAGGTAAGAGCTCAGCACACATTTGCACAACAGACTGTTGAACATTATGCCAGTCTCCAGAACGTGGAGACCACGTACTGTTAGGTGTGAAAAATTTGGCTTACAGGGTTTTAATCATATTCCTGTCAGAGTCTAATGACGGATACTGGGTTAGACGTGCCCAGTATGAGAAGGTTTGTCTGGTCATATAGTTTCTTGATCATTTCTTTTAATGTGGACCGAACATATAATTTCCTAATCCCATCTTCATATATGGAAAGCCCTTTGATTGACTTCCCACAGCCTTTGGTTCAGATCTAGGAAAAGCAGCTATGATGAGCCCAATCACATTTCTCCCCTCGCTACCTGGAGGGTGAAGCTTTCCCCATGCAAGGGGTTTAATGGCCTGTGTGGCTCTCCGACTCTTCTCAGTTCCCCACAGGAACGCAGAGTCTCTGCAGGGGTGGGAGTGGGCTGAATTACTCTCTCCCCTCTTAGGCTGGCAGAAAATTGTAAGAAGCTTTTGTACTGAGCCTCTACATAGGAAAAGCATCATCTCATGGCCTGAAGCGCTGGGCTGGGAGAGCCCTGGAACATCCATGCGCTGAGAAGCCTGGCACTGCAGTGGGGCATTTTGCCAAGTCGGTGTGCAATCAGAGAGCATGAGCCTGCATGTGGGGTGGGAAATAGAAAAGCCTGTACCTTACCTTCCCTGCAGGCTGGTACCAGGAAAAGTGAGCGGAAAAGGAGACCACAGGCTTTCCACCAACCCCACACTGCCTCCTCTCTGTTCATGATTATTGTTTAATGTCTCCTCCACCAGGAGGGTTATGGTTATTTATACAACAGGTCTAAAGTGAGAGTTGAGTCCTTGCTAGTCTTTGGGCCTTAAGAATGTTGCTCTGCCAAAATTTTTTTCTAGAGGAAAAATTTTAGATTTGAGAATGCAATTTTTTAAGTCATTAGTTTCCAAAGCAGCTGAAATAGGGGAGGAGCTTGAGTACACAGCTGAACTACTGATCTTTGAACAACTGCTGCCGCACATCTGCAGTGCCTTCTGCTTGGGCTTTAAAATACACACCCACATACATATATCTTCTTTTCTGTAACTAAATTAAAGCCAGCAGAGTCACACACCAGGAACAAACTTCAGCCTCCTATTTGTTTGGACAGGAAAAATGGATTGTAAACACAACTATAAAATTATGCAATCACTGTTTAGAGGCATCAAGAATGCAAATGTGCTGTGGGAGCACACACTTCAGTACAGATTTAGGATGGAATTAAAAAATGCACTGAACAATGTAGTTGCTTTATGGTAGGACTGTCAAAGTAAAAAAGATTGCATAGGATTGCTCCTAGTCATTACTGCCTAATAACTGTACACCACACATTTTTAAAGCTGTCACAAAGCAGCCTGAGGACCCAGACCTGCAAACACTAGGCAGCAGCAAGATCATCACCCTGAGTAATTATGTGAACATTTTATAGAAGAGTAAAATCAACCCAGGCAGAAGGAAAGTCCTAATCAGAGCCAGGGGAAGAAGACAGCAGAGGGGAGACAGAGGCAGGGCTTGGGCATCTGGAGAGAAGTACGCATCATGTCAGGTTAGCAAGAGCCACAGCTGAGATGGGCAACTAGGTCATTGCTTCTTACACACACTGCTAAAGAGGACCTAGATTCAGACTAGATACAAGGAAGGCATTCTTTACAACGAGGGTGCTAAGACACTGGCACAGAGAGGTGGTAGGTGCCCCATCCCTGGAAGTGTTCAAGGTCGGGTTGGGTGGAGCTTTGAGCAACCTGGTCTAGTGGAAGGTGTCCCTGGCACATCACAGGGAGGCTGGAATGAGATGCCCTTTAAATGTCCCTTCTAATCCATCTGTGATTCTACGATTCTATGACCTGAGCCATTAGAGTACTGAAAAGAAATGAGGAAAATCAGGTAACGTTGCAAGGCTTTTACATGTAATGCCATCAATAGAAAGACATTAGGATCCTCCATAAAGTGCTAGGAGAGGGAAACTAGTCAATGGTCTGCATGAAGTTCCCACTGTGGCACTGAAGAGATGTTTCCCACCTCTTCCCCTCCCAACTCGTTTTCACATGGAGTGATTGATAGCTTAAAATTTTAAAGTATCTGAACTTAATGAACAGAAACCTAGGACAAAATGCCTCTTCCTCCAGCCTGGCTCATCACACCATGCTCTGCCCACAGAGGCCCACAGAGGCAGCTCTACATCCATCAGCCTCACAGGGGAGACTTCCCTTGTTCTCCCTCCTGTGAAGAGCAGGAGGAAAAGGCAGTATTAGAGGAGTGTGCTTAGGAAAATGTTTTCTCTTGAAGCACTGCAACATTTTGTCAGAGGATTAGAGAAGGATCCTCTTGGTGGCATTCCTTATCTCTGCCCTCACAGGCACCCACCCTGCCTCTAGCATCAGGTACTGACTTCCCAAGAGGTGGGGTGAGTGTACAGGTGTCCAGGTTCAGCCCTGCACCTCCCACAGCCTCACTCTGCAAAGAAAGAGAAGATAACCAGGCCTGGAAGAAAGGCTTCTGCTGACTGCTTTAAAGAGCTCACTTGTAACTTTAGCCTTAAAACCATCACTGTTTTCAAATAAATACTTCCATTGTGCCCAATTATGCCTGAGCGTTTCACAATGCCTGAACGCAAAGGATTGAATACAGCCCTAGCTGTCTTACCCTCTTTACCCCTACCCAAATTTGTTCACTATGCTCCTTCTGAGGCAGAAATATTGTCTGGGGCACAGTTTTGCAGTTTTTCTTTCCCAGCACACTATATTGCTGCTTCTCTTGTGAAATTAGTGCAAGACAGCTCAAGTACTTCACCATGCAATGAGCAGATGGAAAAGGCCAAAGCAGAAATAAATCTATCATGGATATATCCATTTAATCAATGATCTATTTATTTTTAATTGATACAGCTACTGAAAGAATTTAGGGAACAAGGGTCAGGCCTGCCATAATGGGCTGGGCAAGAAAATAAATGTGAAGAAGGTTCATCCTTCTCCAGAAATCTGTTCACTTATGTACAGTGGCAAATTGCAGGTGCACCCCTGTTGTACAGCTAGACCTATGGCAAGAAGGTAGTCTGTAACTCATTAACTCCCAGTTCCAGCCAATTTTACTTCATCCTTTTCAAACATCTGCTGAATAGCAGAAACTCAAACCTTGCCAATGTTTTATGCATGCTGCAAGTCCTGCACCAATAAACTCAATACTTAATGCTGCGTGTTGTTCATTCCTTAGGGAGTATGTGTTCTAAAGCCTTAATCTAAAATTCCTCTATCTTTGAATTTTAGACATCCAAATCAAATTGCGTATTTCAGATAAGACTGCTAAGACAGTGTTTATGCTCTAATGCCACCTTTGGAATGAAAATTATATTTAGATCTAATGATATGGAACCACCAACTTCTCAGGTGCAGTTAAATTACCACCAACCAAACCACAGTTCTTTCAGTAGACCTGAACATTGCATACTTCACTCAAAAATCAACGTAAAATCTGCCAATATTATATTTCTCATCATTTGGTAGTCATACAACAATTACTTTTCTGTACAAGTAGACTTAGGGACCAAACCATGCCTGTTGAAGCCAGCAAATAGAGCCAATTGCCCTTTTTAACCCCTCTCACCTCTACAGTGCTGACCAGTGACAGCATCAGCTCCAGCTGAAGGATGGAAAGCTGTCTTTTAGCACAGCTGATGATGTCCTGAGAATACAGCATATCTAATTCCAGGGAAAAAGCTGATTAATTTTTTTTCACCAAAAGGTTCTTTTCAAGTGTCAGTTGATCAAAACATTACCATCCTACAGGGATACACAGAGCAGTTTGACACTAACAAAATCTCTGACCAAAACCAGACAATAAAATATGAGTGACAGACTGGACTGGGGCTGTGAAAGATCCTTGAGACAGAGGCTCAGGACCTTGACTGGCATCCTACAGATCAACACTTAAAACTTGTACCCTATACGCTGGACAAGAAGAATAAAAAGTAGCTAAACTACCTAGTGTAGGTAAAGCACAATGTGAAAAACCTCTCACCTTGAGCCACACCTAAAGCAAATTTGTGGAAAAAACCCCAAATTTCTGGAGCTTTCACACGACAGGAAAACTGTTTCCCACTCTGTCCTCAGTATTTCCATCATCTAGAGAGATGTGGGCAGCAACACTTGTTGGCTAACACTGATGTCTTAGTATCTGGGAGATTCTTCTGTAGTGAGGTCTTTAAAAAGATATAATCCTCTATAGGTTTGACCCTCAGAAAGGCTTTTGGTGCCAGTTACTGGAAGGAGGGAAAACAAAGTGCCTGGGAAAAAGCAAAGGTCGGAAATACCCACCAATGGACCAAGAGGTAAGGGCTTTCCAGAGATTCAAGTTAACACGTTTTAATATTGACCTTGTGTTTGACTCCTAAACTAGCCACACTGAGCCCCTCACTGGGAGCAATGCATAGCTCCTGGATGGGTTTCCTTCTTTGACTGTTGTTTTTTTTCTTTTTTCCCCATTCTCATCAGTCTCGAGCGTTTCTGTCGAGCTACTACAGAGACCACAACGTGGAGTTGTCCAAGCTGCTGCACAGGCTGGGGCAGCCCCTGCCCTCCTGGCTGAGACAGGAGCTGCAGAAGGTCAGGTAGCACGCAAGGGCAAGGGACCCAACTAAGGACGATTTCCTTCACTGTCAAACCCCTTGCGTCTCCAACTCACTTGTGATCATCAGTAGAGGACCTCATGAATAATGCTCTTTCTATTAAAAAAAAAACAAAAAACAAAAAACAAAAAACCCCACAGAAGAATAACACCCACCCACCCCCTGACAACTGTTTATATGCACGTGCTGACAGATATAAGCATCGACCCCTTTTGTCAGCTTCCAGGAAATAATAGAGAGCTACATGGCATTACTTTTTCTCCAGACCAGGATTTGTGCATAGCCTAGTTCCTCTGTTCACCAGGAAGTACCAGAAACTGTGTGTAGGATGGACTGACTTCAGCGTACATGACAAACTGCAGTCTGTCAGGACCTGTGCAAAGGATGGGAACATCTCTCACTGGACCATGAGGTTTGTCATCCACTGGGATTTTTCCATGTTTGCTTTTGCTGGGTTTAATCCCAACCCTGCAAATTCTCCTATCATTTTATGGGGGGATATTCATCACTTTGCAGTCAGGATCCCTAATGATTCTGACATACGTAGTGTCAATGCACCGTCATTGCTTTCTCTACAGCAAAAGGTGGGCTAAATTCTCACCTAACCTGTTTCCCTGAGATTCCATTAATAACTGATGACAATCTGTGCTCTTTCTTCTGTTGCTCTGGGATTTTTTTTCCCTTCACAACAAGATATACCCTGATTTACTGGAGTCATATGGGTGGTTGAGGTGCAAAGCAGCGAGGTGATGTCCTCCCAGATCTCAGTGAAATCCATTGCCTGCCTCATGGTCATAGCTGCTTTGTCACCCAGAGAAGGTTTTTCATCGCATCTGTTGGCTTCCTACAGCAGCTGTGACAGAGCTCCGAGATGTGAGATCATATGAAATGTTTTGTCACAATGCCAAGGAACTATTCAAAACACTCCAAAACCTTTTAAAGTCTAAGCAGGCCATGCAAGCAGTGTACTGACAATAATCTAATACCAACAATTTTGTTTCTATCTGGAAAGCTGTGGTTTTGCTCTGAAGCTTTCAAAGTAAGCAATTAGGTTAGTCAGCTAGGGTCTCGGTCTGCAAGCTATTACAGAAAACAAACTTTAATGACCAAAGGTTAAGGTTTTGAAAAAACAGTCTGTTGAAGAATAACTGCCTTCTACAGACTTTAATGGAGTTGAAAGGACAAGCATATCCACTATGTATGTATCACATACATGATGCATAATTTTTATGTCTGCATATCTACCTACAGTATCTCTAGATAAGACATACACGTATACATATCTGCGTTTTGTGCTGATGAAAGGGTGATTTACCAGAAATACAGTATTAAGAACTGTGCTTTCTTCCCAGATTTGCGTGGGCAAGGTTGACAAGACTGGGCACAAACTTGCTGGGAAATTTAAGCCTAAGGAACAAATACAATTTAGACATTTTAGCATTTAACACTTTTTCTCAAGAATACCAAAGCTGGCAAAGCTTTGCTACATGTTCTTTATGTAGCACAAAATAGTGCTGCAGGTTTTAGTTTTCAGACTTCCCTGTCTTAGTTCCTAGGCACAAGCCATTTCAGGTGCTGCAGAGGCTTTGTGCTTTCCCCTCTGCATGAACATGACCCCTAACTCCTAACTCAGGAGACAGAACTGGACTTGGGGTTGCACCCTGAATTCAGCCTAGTGAAAGCTAGCCTCAAGGGAGCGCAAATGAGCACAAATCACAGACTGTCGTATTCAAGAGCATGTAAATGAATTAATTCAGGCTTCAAACCAGCTGATACATGTAGATATCCAACTTAACTTTTCCAAATTCCTAAATCACGAGACTGTCCACCAAGATAATGACACTTGCTTGTCCTGGATTGGCAAGCCAAATTCTTCCCAGAGCTGTCCTGCTGCCACTCGACATTGGCACAGGGTTTCCTCTCCTGTCCTTCCTGCCACAGGGTTTCCTCTCACCTGGCCTCCATCACTTTGCTCCACCACTTCCCACCTCAACATGCGTGCCTGCTTCTTCCTTTCACACCATTCCAGTTCTTTTCTCAGTCTCAGCACAGCCTTGGTCCAGGTTCCTCACCCATGTGAGGAGCTGGCACTGCCCTCCTTGGTCCACAGAGGAGGGGCTGAGGTGCAACCAGCACCAAGGACATCCACAAACACACAGAAAAGCCTCAAAGACAGTCTTACATTTCCTTTTAAATATTGAAATGGGATTTATCTCACATAATTGAGACATCTACTTTATTTTATAGGTGATGAAGGGAAATAGCACTTCTAGGGCACCATTCATCTCATCACAAAGCAGACTTCTTAAATGAGTGAGATTAATCTTGCTTCTTCCCCTCTATTGATTGTAAAAGGACAATAGACAACTTGCTCGGAGGAAGAGCTCAGCTGTGATAAGTCTAAAACTAGGTGATCTGAAAAGGAGATGGTATTTCATCTCACAACTGAAGATGAGAGGAAGCTGTGAGGGTCTGAGGGAAGATTTTGATTTTGATTTCCTGAAGTAATTTTTCTAGTTCCTGTATTTTGACCAGGAGGACTCTTCAAAAAGAGTTGGGGCAAACCAAGAGCCAAATAAAGGGAACCTTATGGGGGAGGAGGGGCTGGCTTTTTTAATTTATTATTATTATTACTATTTTTATTTGGCAGGGGTGTCAGTTACATACTTTGTTGCAAATTCACACTCTTAACTTTTAGCACTGATAATGCCAGAGGTGACTAGTCTGATGAGAGTTTTGGATAAGTAAGGCTTGGTCAGAGAAGAATAGCTAAATCAACCATTTGATAACATTTTCGCTGCTAAAATGCCTTAGAATTGGCTCATCATTAATTAAAAGATGACTTCATAGCTTCTAGATTAAAAGCTAAATAAACATAAAATTGGTTTCAGAAGTTTTTCAAGGAAATGAGACAAACACCATAAAATGTGGGAAATTACTTCTTGTTCTTGGCTTTTCATTTAAAAGAAAAAATAATTAAGTCTTTCCAACTCTCAGCTCTGTAATAGCATCATGTCCTTAGAACACACTGGGTATTTTTATACCACATTGTTATTTTTTAAGTTTGAATGGGCACCACATTTCCGAGAGATCTCGTGCTCCATTGAAAACCAACATTTGAATTGAGTTCATTATGTGTCATATAAAGATGAAATAACAGTATTTCAAAGTTTCATTCTTTCCACTTGTAATAGGACCCATCAACACAGAATTTCTCTGGACCACTATATTATAGAGAAGCCTTTGTGAACTCGCTGTAAATGATCTCGATTTCTTTTATGCCTTTCATATTGCTGACCATGTAATTGCTGGGATTCTTAAAGACGAGCAAAACAAACGCAATAAAAATGAAACATTTATTCATGGCAGGGGGGCTGTAGCTGGGAAGGAGAATGCTGGCCCTTCTTTGCTATTCATAAGCTACAGGATTTGTCCCCACAATACCTCCATGTGGTGCAGGCTGTAAATCAATGAGTTTTACTTCGAGGAGGGCTGCAGTTGCAGTTTGCTCCCACTGCCCCGGAAATACAGGTTCCTGCAGAGGTTTACAGGCACCTTGCCACACCTGACCTACTGCCTGTGCAGACTGGCGGGAGTCTATTAATTCCAGCAGACCCCGGCTGCACCCAGGAGGCGGTTTCACAAGGCGCAGCCTGTGTGATTCAGGTGTCACGTAGCCCCTGTCACTGCTGAAAATCCATCACCAGTTTCATTTCTATTACTGAGTCGTCTTACCCCCACCTCTCTCGGCCAGTGCTCTGCCATGGTTGGAGCCACAAGCCATCCTTCACCTAAAGAACTCTCGGGCTGTCCCACTTCTGGTCTTGGCATACCATGCAGGTCCCTGTCTGCTCCATACTCCCAGGCTATGAGAAAACCCTATGGGCCAGACAGAGGTGTCAGGGTCTATAGCAGCGTATTTGATGATTAAAGGAGAACTGCATCCCTCAGAAAACCAAGCTTGTATAATTAAGGTTGTCTTTGAGCAAGAAGCAGTCAGAATGGAATCCAAAACCTTCTAAATTATGCATTGACCTCTCAAGGTCAAAATAAAGTTGATGGATTAACTGCTCAAATGTGTTTTCTAATAAAACAAATTTTCACTCTGATAGGGAATCAGACTGACGAGTGTCCCCAAAACAAATTAAGATGGCAGAATAATAAATTCCTGGGGGAGGAAAATTTTGCGTAATCAAAGTGCTGATGGGTCCAGACTCTCTGATGTGATAATAAGGCGGTGGGGACGTGTCCTGAACACAGAAGCAGAAGCTGAATGTTTTCGCCTCTTCCTTCCCCCTCCTCCTCTTCCTTCCTATTGGTGTTAAACTTTAAGCCAGCATAGTGCATCTGAAACACACACAGTGGGCAGAGCCCATGACACAGGGGAACATTACTCATCTCCAGCTCGATCAGCTGAGAGTAAGTTAGATATAGGGTGCTCCTTTCCCCTAAGCTGGGCCACCTTTAGTTACACATCAAGTCATTTAGTTTCTATCAGTAGCAAACTATGTGTTTATAATGGGTTTCCAATTGATGTTTACAATTGGAGTGTGAGCATGTGACAACTGTGTAAGAGGTACAACACAGGTATATAGATCAGGAGGGACCAAGTGTCTAGTTATATCGTAGTTAAGTGAGATTAAGATCGCCACTGGTGTCAGAAGCTCTCATTGCACATCCAATTCAACTTAGCCATTTTAGCTCTCTGACTGCAGTGCCTACTCTTTCTCAAAGAGTTGAAATGTCATAAGATCACCTCACTATCTTTACCCTCATTGATATCAGATAACGCAATTTAGCTTCAACAGTTCAGTCTGTCTACCATTATATTAGTTCATACATCTCTGCATAAATCTGTCAGGAACTGTCACCTCAGAGACTTTTGTTTAAGTGTATGTTCTTGGGATGAGAATTTCCCTGTCAGACAACATTTCTTATGTTCTCTTTATTTTTCTCTTCTTCCCTTCCAGTTTATCCTTATAGCATGACTGCAAAGGTGTGGACCTCCCTATGGATTCAGTTCCTCTGCCACTATCCTATCTAGAAAAGCTGCCAAAACTAAATAAGGATTTGCAAGCGACACAGATTCTGAAGTATT